CTCAAACCCCTTCTAATCGGCCTCTCCATCTCCAGGTGGCCTCCCGCCAACCCAGCTTCCACAGGTGGCCAGAGTGATCTTTCTAAAATGCAAACCTCATCCTTACTTCTCTTTGTACAGCTGTTTCTTTACTGAGACTTGCAGGCTCCTGCCCTCCCTCCACCCCCACCCCTGCTCTTGCTCTCCAGCCAGAATGAGGCCCAATAAGCTCCTCTAATGAGCTATGCTCTGTGCTCGTCCTGCCCTCTGCTGGGATATTATGCAGCTCTCCTCACACCTGCTTTCTCTTCCAGGTCCTCCAACAAGCTTTCCCTAACCCCCCAAGTCTGGATTAAACCCCCCAGTAGCCACCAAGGAGAAACTGTACCTTGCAATTAGTTAGCAATTGCACCTGCCTCTTTACTTGTCTCAAGCTTTAAGAAAATATAAGCTCCCTGAGCGCAGGGACCATATTTGTCTTTTTCAACTTTATATATTCAGATCCTACCCAAGAGCCTGGCTCAGAAAAGGTGCTCAGTCAGTAACTATCAAACGACTTTAATAAACACATCCTACTAACCACAACTTCTCTGATAGAACGCAAATTCCATTTTGCAACGAAACAGTGTTCATTTTTTATTTCAGGGTCCCTTTGACTACAGCATCCCTAGATTTCCACCCAGATTCTAGTTTCATTGAATGCAGAGATACCTCATCCTGTGTCCCACTGGGAATAAGGGAAGGCAGGGATTCACAATTCAGCCTTTGATGGGAATAGATGATAAAAAATACTGATGATAATGGCAACAGATCACGAACTGTACATTTACAACATGTTGGGGGTTGTGCTAAGCATACCATACACAATACTTCATCATCATCAGGCAACTCCGGGGAGCACACCGGTCACTCCCAGGGCATCCGAAGATCTGTAAAGGAGAGTCCACTGACGATGCCAAATTCCTCTTCTGAAAGTGCCCACAAAACAAAGCTAAACGCTCTCAACTAAATGGCCTCTCCCAACCCTCTCTCTCTGCCACTGTAGGCAGCCTTGAGTTGCTCTAACTTTTCTCTATAAGCCTTGGGAGTAAGTTAGGGCCAGGACTGAGGCTGCCAGCCCACTTCCCCCTGCCTTTCTATTACTGCTGACGTTTGAGCCAATGTGGTTAGAATAATCTGGGAATTATTTGTATTAATGGAACTGAAACTTTCCTCTTCTTTCCAAAAAGGATAGTATACTTTGTCCAAATGTCCAATAGCTTACATCCTATAGTCAGCCAAAACACCCCCAACCCCCAATTTTAATGCTACAGGGTTTGGGACTTACAGAACCAAATCAAAACACTTGTATTCAGATTGACCGCAACAAAATTCTATGATATTTTCACTGTCTAGTCACAACCTCTAGCAACATTAAAACGCATTTGTTTGTTTGTTTTTTGTTTTTACAGCTAATAAATCCCAGTTTAGGAAGGTTAACTCTCCTAAGCTTTAGAACCTTTAACAAAATGGGGTAGAGCAAGCATGCAAGATAAAACAGCTTTTGAACGTATTTTCAAAAGCCACCCGATGTCAAAAATGGAGCTGATGAACAAGAAGGGGGTCTTTGCTTTCCTACTGAGAGACTGACCTGTTCGTCTCCACCAGCTTGGTGCCTAGAGAGCGACTTGGCCGGCTTCAGTTTCAGGAAGAGCCAGAAGTTTCTGTGCTCGCTAAGGGAGGAGAAGCCCACTAAACATCCTGTTCTTCTTAATAGGCCTGCTGATATATATCCAAGTACTTGAAGTCAATGTTTTGAGAGATGCTTGCTTTATTCTGTTAATTAAGCTGAAACCCGATGTTGGACGGAAGAGAAATGGACAGAGTGTTCCATCCTCCCAATTTATGGAAAGGGAGAAGGAGGCAAGTGGTGAAGAGCAGATGCGTGGAGAAGCCCATCGTGTTAGTAGATGACAGTCCTGCTTCTGTGCATAAATTACGTTCAGGGTGAACTCTAAACCAGGGTTTATGAAACAGCACATACGAGCATTTCTATGAGCCACGACGCTGACACGAACTCTGGGTTTTAGATTGGTGTCTCTGGGCTGGCCTAAACCGTCTGTAACGTAAACCACTGTGAAGCCAAAGGAAGTGTCTTCTTTCTGAAACCATGGATTGTTCACGCAGACCTTAGGTGCACATAACTAACAAGAGACAACTGTTACTGAGTGCGGCGGTTTCCACTCATGAGAGGGAATGGAAGTTAGGTTTCAGGCAACACCCCAATGCCAAGGGTGATTCCACAAGTTTACTTTAGTTCACTTGTTCTGTATTCTAGACACAGCATGTCAGGCTCAATAAGCGGCATGATTCGTTTCCTAGGAAAGAGCTCCATGTAACTTAACCCACCACAGAAAGGCCCTTATCCTGTGATCACCTAAGGGAACACAAGGATGGAAAAGAAATCAGAACCACAAGATCATCACCAAAATACACTGTTTATAAAGTCTCCTGCCAGTATCCTAAAAAGCAAAGTTCTGCTTGGAAGAGAAGTACCAGGAGGATATCTGAACCAAGTTTGTAGAACATGAGCACCGGACCACCACAAAGTAGGTTCCATGCATGTGTGTGGAAATGCTGTGCTCTGTGTTGGGTCAAAAATGGGAATGAGCCCTGGACAGTTTGGCTCAGTGGTTAAAGCATTGACCTGTACACGAAAGGGTCGCAGATTTGATTCCAGTCAAAGGCACATGCCTGAGTTGCAGGTTCGATCACCAGTGTGGGGAGTGCAGGAGGCAGCCAATCAATGATTCTCTCTCATCACTGATGTTTCTATCTCTCTCTCCTTCTCCCTTCTCTCTGAAATAAAGAAAAATAATTTTTAAAAAGGTCATTAGTACACAATCATCTTTTGAAAATATATATGTCCACTTACATATGGCTGGAAAAACATCTAGACAGAAACAAATAACAATTTGTGAGCATGGTCATCTCTGAGTTCTCCAATTATTATCAATGACTTTAGCTATTTTTCCTTTTGCTTATCTGTTTTTCTGATTTTTCTTCAATGAACATATATGACATTTATGGAAAAGATATGGGAGAACAAAATATTCATACAAACTAAAAACAAAAGCATGGCATACTTCTGCTTGCTGAATTGATGAAATTAGTGTAGACATGTATAATACAATGTGAGAAGCATGTGACCACATAAAACAACACACAAAGGGCAGGTATGAACAAAGGACTCTTGAGGCAGAAAGACAGTGAACTTGACTTTGAGCCCTAATCCAGATGTTTCCCAGCCATGGCCCTTGTGAGCCTTAGTTTATGAACAACGGACAGACTTTGTTTTGACCTGCAGCAACACTGATAGCAATGATCATGCCCTCCCTTCCTGGAACACACTGACTTAGCTTCCTGCTCACACCTCCCCTGGCTTTCCTCCCGCTCCTCAGTGGCAGCTCCCTCTCTGTCTCAGTCTCCCTTATTAGTTCCCCTACCTCTTCCCAGGGCCCAGGGTCAATCCTTGACCTCTTCTCCATTCTATCTATTCTCACCTCCGAGGAGATCTCACCCAGTTTATGGCTTCAATTCCATGTATGCTCCAACTCTTCCTAAATATCTACAGTTCTGACCTCTCCCCAAAATTCCAGACTGGGATATCAAAAACTGCCCATTGGCCATAATCATTTGAAGGTCTAACAGGGCAACTCAAACTTGTCATGGCCCCAAATCAGGTTGCGATCTCCCTCCAGCCCTCAAAAATCTGCTCCTCCCAGTTATCTTCATCACAGGTAATAATAACCAAATCTTTCTAAATGCTCAGGTAAAAAATTTGGAGTCGTCCTTGTCTTCTTTCTCTCATGCCTTAAACCCAAACTGTTGACCATACATGTAAAATATACTCAGAACCCTACACTTCATACCACTTTCATAGCTATCACCCTGGTTCAACCATCATCTCCATCCTAGATCATTGCAATAGCCCCCAAATCCATCTCCCTCCCACCCTTGCCCAGTCTATTCTGAACTCAGCAGCCAGAGTGATAACTATTAAAGTATCCATCCATCATGTCACTCTTCTGCTCAAAACCCTCAATGTCTCTCCATCTCCCATAGATTAAAAGCCAACATCCTTGCACTGGCCTACATGTGGACACCCCCTACCTCATCTCCCACTACCCCGTTCTTCACTCACGCCAGCCAGTGGCCTCCCTGCAGTTCTTCAAACCTACTGGATAGGTTCCTATCTCAGGGCCACTGTACTAGCTGTTCCCTCAACCGGAAATACTGTTTTCCCAGATAATCACCTTTTTACCTCCTTCAGGTCATTAACGTCTTTCACCAAGGCGATTCCCCAACCACACCATTAAGTATTGTGACAAAACTCCCCCAATAACACACACCTCCTATCCCCTGTTCTTACTTTTTTCCATAGCAGTTTCACTATCCAACGTAACTTGTATTTCACTCACTTCTTTTATTTATGATCTATCTTCCCACAGCTAATATAAGTTCCACAAAGCGGGTCTTTTTTATTGTTTTGTTCCCCACTTAGTACCTAGAACAGGGCCTGCCACATTGCAGGCACTGAATAAGTATTTATTGAATAAACAAAGGAGATTAAATGGTACCTGCCCTTACCTCTCTCAGAGTTACATAAAGGACACAGGAAATAAAGAATGTGAAAGTAACTACTATGTAATTTGACACTTTGATAAGTATGTGAGTAGTGTTACCACGATCATTGTTATTATATTGAAGATGTGTCCCTGTCTTGCCAGTTATGGCCGGAATCAGTCCTTCTTGAACTAGAATTCCTCACCTCCCTTTTAGTTATCTACTTTAGTACAAAGTCTGATATCTGAGAATTTACACAACACTAGGATTCTGGAAAGAATCAGGTTCATAGATACACTCAAGGTCTAACCCTACAGATGATTACCTTACTCACAAATTGGGACTTTTGTCTTCTCTTGGAGAAGACTAGTGGGAGGGAGAAGGGAGATTAAAACATTAATAAGCATGATCACTTAAGAGTGTCCGACCTCCCTTTACAGAATGTCACAAATACCCGCTAAGCTCCACGCAACGCAGGGAGAAGACTGTCCCTGACTTTTGCTGGGCCTTGATGACACAACCATGCCTCACCCAAGGTGGATTTGTGTGTAAACTCTCAATGGACAAAAGGTTGGGTTCAGCTCAACCATCTCCATCTGGAAACCAAGAGTATACAAAACACTCCATTAACTCCAGGAGCTACGGAAAATAGCATGTTTTATTATGGCACTCCCAAAATTACTTTTGAACACACCAGAGTTAGAACCCTCTTCTAAATGCAAACGTCTCACAGTTGGTGACAAGCTCAGCTTGAAGACTAATTTGCTAACCTCTGTTCCATCTTGGCTAGAAGGATTGTTTAAAACTCCTCTCTGTGAGTTCCCCCAAAACCATAGCCCTTTAGAGGCCAATAATAATACCTTTACTTGCAAAACTAACATTTAGTTACTGTGGCTAAACTGCAAAGCACTATGAATCCTGGGGAGGAGGATAATTAATCTAATTGAGCTGAACATATAAGGGCTTTCAAGTGGATAAAACTGCACCTTGGAAATTAAAAAAGCAAAAATGTGCATCCTGGGACCCCTGAGCCCGGCAACAGTGCCAGCTCCATGTAGGGAATGGGCAGAGGCGGAGCTCGGGCAATCTGATCGAGCTTCACTCGTATCTGTCAGCTATGAAACTTTTCATCCTAGACGGAGATTTCCTCCCTCACACCCTCCAATCCCTTTAGAAAGAAGCAACTCATAAGATCAGAGCCTATTAAAGGTCCTAACATCAAAGTTAGAAAACTGACCGATTTAAGAGGTAAGCAGCTTAATTGTGAGATTTCACTTGTCGGCGACCTTGTTCTTCTCACATTGCTGGGTTGAAACTGCATTACCCAAGAAGTGGGAGGAAGAAAAGAGTTCATCAGAAAAAAATTACACAATTTTTTTTTTCCCAGAAAAAGCATTCCTTTTCCATGGTCTGTGACTAATTAGATGAGAATACTGCATCTCGTCCTCACCAATCTTGGCCTCCCTATTCTTTATGAAAAATAAAACGAACAAAACAGCCAAATTATTTTGCATCTGGACCCTCTCTAAGGAGTCACTTGTTCCCAAGAAGGATCGGATGGCCAGGGAAACTGTTTCAAGGGTGTGACACAGGCAAGCTCGTGATCCATTCTGCTGGACCATTCATCCAAGCACACAGGGAGGTTTTCAGCAGGTATCAAGAAGAACCCCACTCTGCTGGTATCTTACAGCTTCCTTCAGCATCTGAAATCCTCTATTTATTATAGTGAAACTAGAGAAAATGAATGAGTCCATACTAGACCAAAGGATTACAAATATAGAAATCCCCTAATATTCTGACATGACCTTTTTTTCTTCAAATTATTATTATTATTATTTGGCACTTGCTGTTGACTCCACACTGGGTTTGATATTTTCATCACACACAAGTCAGGAGATCTGGAAGTTAATGTTCCAATAGCCCCTCCTCCCATTCACCCCTCACAGAGACGTGCACCTGGCTTGGTGTGCCTCACTGCACCCATCACAGCATGTGATCATTTCAATAAATAAAACTCAAGGGCAACAAGACAATGCCAGGTTCTTGGGAGACACAAGATCTGACACATGTTAATACTTCATTATCCATCCAGGCCCTCTGCCAACAGAAGGCACACAGATCACCTTTCCACATAAACACTGCAGGCCTTTCTTGCAATGAGGATCAAGTCCAGTATATTTATTTCATTTATCACACGATCCTTTTCCCTCTACTGTAAAGAGATTCAGAGAATAAAAGCTTTGTTAGTATAGCATTATGCTTGAGAATTCTAAACAAACCAGGGAGGCAAATCACTTATGGTTTTCATACCAAGCATACCGCAGACAGGCGTCATACAAATACTCCTTCCAGCTTAGAACACCAGTCATGCCTCTCGGAAATGCTGTTCTCTACATGAGCAAGAGACATAGATGCCATTGACTTAGGAAAGATGGGTCCACATGTTTACACGTCACCTCACAGGCGGGCCCTGTAGTTCAGTGGGTTGCCCAAGATTGGGACTGGAGAAACCTGAGTGGTTACAGGACATCCTTAGATCCTGACACATTTTGAGTTTAGGAATTTTTAAGTAACAATTATATCCCAGTTGCTTTATCTCAGAAAGATGGAATGAAAGTGATTACAAATGTATAGCGACAACAGAAATATCTAAATTTAAGCAGTTGACAATGACTTGAGCTACAAACATCAAATTAATCTATTACCCAAACCTCCCAGTCTTTACAGATGTGCTTTTAAACTGTCCCTAAATATCAACCAACCCCCCAAATCTCCCACGAGAGTACGTTTCCAGTTCTTACTGAGTGAAGTTTGTCATGAGGCACTTTTCATCATGCAGAGTTCTAAAACCTTTCTTTTAAAGTCCTTCTGTTTATTTTCAAAACCACATACATACTATACAGAGTGGCGTAGACAAGTCACCTGCAGAGACTACAACCAGGACTAGTGTCCGTCTTTGCACCAAATGCTTGGCGTAAAGAAATGTGCTTCAGGGGGCAGAGAACGTTCTTGGTGCCTGTAACAGGTGTGCTTCTCACTGCAGGTGGATGAGACGTCAACTGGGGATGTGTTTCATGATCTGCAGCATGAAACCGCCAGAAATCAGAGGATCTAGTGTCTCAACTGGCTTCCAAAGCCAAAAATTACACTGTTGCTGTCTAAGCCAGGGATCACCACCACCGACCGGCAGAGGCAAGATAAGATACAAGATTAGGTAAAATGAAGTCAACCGAAGTTACACAAACAAAGGAGGAAAGGGGCAGGATGACCTCATGGGTTACAACCTTCTCAGAATAAGATGCCATTCTATAATGATTCAAAGGAAAGACTACGGAGTCACAGTTAACGCTATTGGACATACACACCTAACTTAGTTTACTGTCAAAGAACTCACACAAAGCTGTACGTTCCAGGTCCCAAAATAGAATTAAAATAATTTCAGAGGGATGATTTATTAAAATGATAGTGACTTACAAACTAAAACAGAGAGACATAAATTCAATTTTAAAAAACACAGAGAGACAAAAGACGACAGGCTTATGTATCACATCTTACCCACAAACATCTCGCTTTGCTGAGCTGAAAACCACATGCTCTGTAGGGCTACACAACACCTTCCCAGGCGGTAGCGTTTACGTGGGTGGGCTGCAGTGATTCTTCAGAAGACAGGCTTTGCCAGAAGGCAGAGTGGTAGTTCACCTGAGCTTACAGCTCAATTCTGCAACTACTTTTTCATATCATCTTTACTGCACCCATTTGTTAATTCGACAAATACTTAGCCAGCACTTCCTCTGTGCCAGGTATTGTGCTCTCAGCATTGCTTTCCCAGCAGACACAGTTGTCCCCAGGCCCAATTCACTTCTTTGTTGGATCAATTTTCCAAGCTCTCGTCACGTTTACTTTCCCAGTGATGTCCAAGGCATTCAGTCCCCAAGGTCACCAGCGTCCTAGCTTCCTCTTGATGCTCCTTTTATTACATTTTGGTGGCAAGAGAACCCACATCCCTGGTGTCCAAGCTCATCTCTCGAGATAATCAAAGCAGCTCATGTTTTCTGCCTTCTCTCTTCCTGCCAATTCTCTCTGTTCCTCTACCATCCACTGACTCGGCATCTGTTGACCTTATCATCCCATCAGGCACCTTGATCAGGAACGGCTTACCCCTTTCCTTATTCAGGCAACTCCGAAATCCTACCTTCCCTACTCAGTTCTTCTGACAATGATCTAAGCACCTATCTCAGTGTATCAAGTGAAAGGCGTGCCGCCCGCCTCTGCCTCTCCGGTGGTGCGGGAGGAGGAGTCTGGCCGCTGGGCTCTGAGATCCCTCTGCGCCCATAGGGTCTGGCCTCCCCGGAGAGGGTCCGAGTGTCCGGACCGGCTGCGTGGCCGGCAGCGGGCCGAGGGGTGGGGCCAGGCAGTGACCGACCACGGGGGATGTCGTGGGAGCGAAAGGCT